AAATCTCCTAAAACGGTGGCAATTATCTAATCGATTCAAGCTTTCAACTTTTCTATATGGCTTGTCAAAGTTGAGAGCCGAGTTTCGCTTGGTACGCTGCTCATTGATGGGATTTTGATGGGTTTTGATGGGATTTTTGAGAGCTATCTTGTCAAAATCTCGTTTAGACTGCATTTATTAATGCTAATTAACAAAATCTCCAAAATTGTCAATCTTTCTGATTTCTCGGAAGGTTATAAGAGTCCTAGGAGTCTCATCGAGACGATATTTGGTGGGTTTTTATGAAATTTCTCAAGAATTTTTGCATTACTGCGTAAATCATGCGAGATTTTGTTCATTTGCATTAATAAATTCAATCTCAACGAGACTTTGACAAGATCGCTCTCAAAAATCCTGTCAAAATCCCATCCCAGCAGCGTACCGAGCGAAACTCGGCTCTCAACTTTGGCAAGCCATATAGAAAAGTTGAAAGCTTGAATCGATTAGATAATTGGCACCGTTTTAGGAGATTTACTTAAGATTTATCTCCAGAAAAAGCAGAACGATTGACTGAATTCTGGCTAATCTAGACCCTCTGAATGTGACGCTAAACTAGCCGTCCCCTTTTCACAAGAACAAAACTCACCGGCAGACATACAAGAATAAAACTCACCGGCAAAATAGCACTCAAAATGTTGAGATTATGGGTCCGGTTGTAGGATTGAGCAAAAGTATACGTTTTTTGTTGACGTGAATAGTGTAAACGAATCGAAATTAGGGCCTGGAAATGGTTTTTGGTCAAAAATTCTCAAAGAGTCTCGAAAATCGTACTTTAGTTTGGCAAAAAGATTAGAATATTGTAGGAAGCGCTTATCTTTATGCTTGTATAGGATACAGTAACTTTTAGACAAGTTTAAGACAACTTTCAGACAAGTTTAAGCCAACTTAAGACCAGTTTAGCCAACTTTAGCCAACTTTAGCCAACTTTAGCCAACTTTAGCCAACTTTTAGACAACTTTTAGCCAACTTTAGCCAACTTAAGACAAGTTTAGCCAACTTTAGCCAACTTTTAGACAAGTTTAAGCCAACTTTAGCCAACTTTAGTCAACTTAAGACAAGTTTAAGTCAACTTAAGACAAGTTTAGCCAACTTTAGCTAACTTTTAGACAACTTTTAGCCAACTTTAGCCAACTTAAGACAAGTTTAAGTCAACTCTTAGCCAACTTTAGCCAACTTAAGACAAGTTTAGCCAACTTTAGCCAACTTTTAGACAAGTTTAAGCCAACTTTAGCCAACTTAAGACAAGTTTAAGCCAACTTTAGCCAACTTAAGACAAGTTTAGCCAACTTTAGCCAACTTAAGACAAGTTTAAGCCAACTTTAGCCAACTTTAGCCAACTTTTTGCCAGCTTTTAGAAAAGACAATCGGAACGAACCACTGTGGAGAAGATTGTGACAGCTGATTCGATAAAGATCGATGTGAATTGCAAATCGATACTTAAATACATTAAAGGAATCGATAGAATTATCTAAGAATTTGTTTATTAATCTTTTATTTAGCAAAAAAAACACCAAAACTATTGATAAGAAAAATCCATTTCGATACGAGCTCCATTTTTCCTCATAATTTTCCACAAAAATCGTTGTAAGAAAGCGCTCGAATGAGATCAATAAAATGAAAGAGTCGGTAAGAATTAGAAAAATCTCACTGACAATGAGAGAAATGGCGTAAAAATTGGTGAGGTTGATGATATTGTCTAAAAATTGCTTGTAACAGTTGATCAATAGGGCTAGATCTCGCTCGGCTAAACTAAGCTAAACTAGTAGACGTTCTAGATGTTCTAGTTCTAGACGTTCTAGACGTTCTAGATGTTCTAGTCGATGTTCTAGACGTTCTAGACTTTCTAGTAGACGTTCTGGACGTTCTAGAGGTTCTAATAGACGTTCTAGACGTTCTAGACTTTCTAGTAGACGTTCTAGACGTTCTAGACTTTCTAGTAGACGTTCTAGACGTTCTAGAGGTTCTAGTCGAGCTAGAACGTCTACTAGAACGTTCTAGACGTTCTAGAGGTTCTAGTAGACGTTCTGGACGTTCTAGAGGTTCTAGCAGACGTTCTGGACGTTCGAGACGTTCTAGTCGAGCTAGAACGTCTACTAGAACGTTCTAGACGTTCTAGAGGTTCTAGTAGACGCTCTGGACGTTCTAGAGGTTCTAGTAGACGTTCTAGACGTTCTAGAGGTTCTAGCAGACGTTCTAGACGTTCTAGAGGTTCTAGCAGAGGTTCTGGACGTTCTAGAGGTTCTAGTAGACGTTCTGGACGTTCTAGAGGTTCTAGTAGACGTTCTAGACGTTCGAGACGTTCTAGTCGAGCTAGAACGTCTACTAGAACGTAGACGTTCTAGTAGACGTGAGCTCTAGCCGGCTAGAGCTCACGGCTAGAGCTCAAATCGGCTAGAGCTCAAATCTCGACCTTACGGGATTCGAGAACGCTTTAGAAACAAAAGCTCATTGAAAAGAAACTTACAATAATGCAAAATATCACAGAAAACTTGAATCATTCTTGCAAACGAAAAGCCAAGTACGATCAAGAAGTACAAGAAAAGAATCACTCTGAATTTGGCTCTGAATTTGAAATTTGGCTCAAAATCCAGTTATTATAACTGTTTTCAACTAGGTTTTAACTTCTAAATGTAAATCTAACAAGGAGAATGGAGTCATTATGGGTTTTCTTTGAACTTTGACTGCTTCATCAGTTGCGCTGTCAGACCGTTAAGCGCTGTTAAGCTGTTAGACCTGAATTTGTAATCAATTTACAATCGCAAATCCAAATACAATTACCTTCGCCAGATAATCGCATTCGCAAGGTAATCGCATTCGAAAGGTAATCGCATTCGCAAGGTAATCGCATTCGCAAGGTAATCGCATTCGAAAGGTAATCGCATTCGCAAGGTAATCGCATTCGCAAGGTAATCGCATTCGCCAGATAATCGCATTCGCCAGATAATCGCATTCGAAAGGTAATCGCGCTCGAAAGGTAATGGCATTCGAAAGGTAATCGCATTCGCAAGGTAATCGCATATCGCAAGAGATTTCTACCGTAATCTTGTCTTTATTTTTATCAAATCTACTTTGCGCCAAATTTTTTGCGCAACTCGCCATAACTTTCTTCTAAGTCGACCAATCTTTTTGATTTTGGTGTCATTTTGTTTCACTTGTTGAGATCTACAAAATGACACTAAAATCATAAAGATTAATCCACTTAGAAAAAAGTTATGGTGAGTTGGTGCAAACGGCCCAATTGGTGCAAACGACCCAGTTGGTGCAACTCACCATAACTTTCTTCTAAGTCGACCAATCTTTCTGATTTTGGCGTCATTTTGTAGATCTCAACAAGTGCAACAAAATGATACCAAAATCAGAAAGATTGGTCGACTTAGAAGAAAGTTATGGCGAGTTGCGCAAAAGACCGCAAATTATTTAGCTGCGCAAAGTAGCCACCCCCAAATCTATCTAATATTTGTTTGATTCTGTGAAGGATATCAAAAGATATAAAAAAGAGAGACAAGATTACGGTAGAAAGTGAAAAAGGACACGATTTAGTAAATGATTTATCTTTAAACTCTTAACAAATCAGAAAAATTCTCTCTTTTTCTTTACCGTAAACTCTTCTGCATCAGTTGAAAGCATTTTGTAAACCATTGCACGAAAATCAACGACGGAATCCCAATACAGTATAAAAACATCTCAATCGGATGACAGATTCGATTTATTCGAAAAATCATTTCATCCATTGCTGGTTCATCGAAAATTCGCTCATTGACAAACATCGGGAGGTAATTTTTGTGATTTCAAATGCATAGACGACGGCAAAGAATTCCCTAATGAGATGTCGTGGAAAAGTTTTTATGAAAATGTAAAATGGCAATTATTTTAGCAAAATGAGTATCAAATTAAAAGATCGAAAAGTTCATTTTTAACCAAAAAAACATTGTTGACTAACCAATTTCGAGGAAAATCTAGAAATTCGTGACTTGTGCACAACAAAAACGGTCATAATTGGAAGGAAACCTGGAAGAAAAAAACGATGACATAATGACTATTTTTGAGGTTTTAGCGGAAAATCGAAATTAGATGAGTGGTTAAAAGTGTTTAAAATAAAAAGCTATGACACAAACTTTTAGAAGAATCAGAAACAGCGTAGTTCACTGTTTTCTAAGATGTTTGAAGTTGAGTACAAGAACTTACTTAAGAAAGCAGTTACCGTACTCCGGAGAGGCTTCAAATGTTTCTGTACTTCTAGGGATTCTAAAAGATGGATTTACGAGAACAGTGCCCGTATCCATGAACGTTCCAAACGGTTTGGAATTCCAAACCATTTTACTAAGCAATGAGTTATTTTTTGAATTATTTTTTTGAAACTGTTGTGCAGTAGAGAATTGTGTTCAACTATTCCAAAAAATTACCTCAAAGAGTGAAATCATCGCTTAGTAAAATGGTTTGGAACGTTCATGGATACGGGTATAGGAATGTTTAAAACTGATGACATTTAAAACTTAAAACAGATTCTTTGCGACTAAAGCCTGATGAGCTTCCAGAAAAGTTTCACACGCAATTTACCAGCAAATTGATGATCCTCGAGAATTTCTGAAAAAAAATTAACCCAAACTTGTCTCCTCTTTCTCACGCCACTTTACACTATAATACAAACGATCAAAGTAATTAGCTATTTTTAGAATCCTGAAGAAATAAAACTAAACTTGTAAGCAATCTAAACGCAAATTGGTCATTGGTCATTTAAATTTAAACCACTGTTGAAATTGACTGATTTGTTTATAAAATTCGTCCAATAGCGTTTAAGTAAATGTTCTTCTCACTAAATGTAATGATGACTGAATATTTACTTTCAATATATAAATGAACCACTTGGAAATAAAACAATAACCCACCAACAACACTTATTTCAGAGATCGCTCAAATAACAACAAAACACCAACGAAAATGTTATCACCGTATATCTTTTATTGATTGTTGAGCTTCGTTAAATCGACGCCGAGTTGTTTGGCCTGCGTTTCGATGAATTCGGCCATTTGCTGGTTGTTCATCTCCATTCTGAAATTGAAAATTTATACTTGATCGAGCTAAATGTGATTAATACACTAAAATATGCTCAAGTCAAAAGGAAGGGAAAAATTTAGTTTCTTCTAAATACTCCAATCGTCGAAAATCGTTCTAACCCGTGTCCAATAGGCAACGTAAATAAAAATCTCGTTTACCTGTAGTTTTTCGTCACCATTTCGACCCAACTATTCTCAAGATTCTTCAGCGCTTTTCCCGCATTCAGTTGGGTCACTTTTCGATTGGCATGCACTTCCATTAACTAAAAGTTCAAGCTGCAAACATAAAAAACGTTTTTTAAAAACGGACCTGTTCCTTGACTTCACGAAGTTTAGTTTCCAAAACTGTCAATTGTGTTTGCAATTCCTAAATAACAAAAATCAGTTACAAAAAAAACGCTTTTACTTCAGTCCAACGCCGTGAAACTTCAGGTCCAAATTCTTCAAGCAATTCCAAGTTGATTTGCCGCAGAAGGAGGTGCTCATTTTGGGCGTAAGCGTTGCGAGTAGACTAAACCTTTAGCATTAAAATTGAGAACGACACATTTATCAAAGGCTTGTATAAAAACTAAACTTATCATCGCTCAAAACTACTGGAATGTATGCTTGCTGCAATAGTACTACATTGCGCATTGGCTGTACGTATTCTGATACAAAAAAAAGGAAAATAACCTTTTTCCACGCATTTTTATCGCTCGAGCGTTGTGTTCCTGCTGGTGACGGCAACTCGCATCGGCTCATATCCAATTGGGGCATTTCCTAAAGAAATAATCCGTAACTAGGTAATTAATTAATTGCCCAAAACCACTCGATTCGTATCGATCGAAAAAACTTACTTGTTTCTTTGCGATCCTAGCGTTTTCCTGGATTAGCGCTGGTGTCAAAAATGCTTCGTAGTCGGGCACGGGCAAATGTTTGAGGTAGTTCTTCGTTGGTTTGAAAACCTAAAAACAGTTACTCACCAGTGGTAAATTTTCTATAAACTTGCTAAAATAATCGTTCTTTAATGTCTAATTGTTTACTATCAGCAAAATTAAGCTTCTCTATTTAAACTTAAAAAGTTTCTTTTTACAAAACTCATGTTAAACTTTGAAATCTTTACCTTGCACTCTTGTTCAATCAACCTTCGCGCCATCTGACGATCGGCTTCTGTGTATTCCGTGTCCAAATATGGAAGCGCATCGACCAAAACCTAAGACAAAAAAAAAGATTTTAAAAAGTAGCTAAAATCTCACTTGATCATCCGAAAAACCGCCAGGAGCTGTTAGAGCCAAATTTTGCGTCGTCATCTGATCTAAAAATAAATATTGATTAAGTAAATAAAGCATAAAAAGAAAAAGGCTAAAAGTAGAGAATAAGTGTTTGACTCGAAACAATTTTCTATGGACTACGTAGCTCCTATAGACGGGGATGAGGCTGGCACAGGTTCAAAAAGGTGGTAAGAAGTGAAATGAAAAGTTGTATTCGATAAAATTCATGGAAAAATGATTGCAAAGTCAAATGCAGTAACTTTCCACAACAGAATAAATGCGGGGTAGGCTAATTTCCGCCATTTTATTTGCGCAACTCACCATAACTTTTTTCTAAGTGGACTAATCTTTATGATTTTAGTGTTATTTTGTAGATCTCAACAAGTGAAACAAAATGACACTAAAATCATAAAGATTAGTCCACTTAGAAAAAAGTTATGGTGAGTTGCGCAATGACTCCATAAATGCATGAATTTTATGCAAGAGAGAAAATAAATAACCCAATTGTTTGTCGCAGCGAAGCTATTCAGTCCGTCAACTGAATATTTTCACTTTTCTAATAGAAGGGTTTTACAAGTACTTAAAAGGACAAATTTCTGTCGGGTCTTCTCACATTCTGGATTTTGTGCTTTTCGCCAACTCTTGCGCTAAAGCTTTCCAGAAGTAGGTTAATTTTTATTCAGCACATCGCTTTTTGCGTAAAATGTTTGTTTCCTGCATCTACATATTTGTTTTCTCATTTATCCAAAAAAGTGTTCAATGAATCCCCTTTTATATTTCCCATCAACAAAAGAACGTGTTTTTGTAAGTTCTTTGCTCTCCGCCGCTCGCTCCTTGCTGCTTTTTCAGCTCAAAGAACGCTCAAACTTTGCACAACAAAACCCGAGATTTTTGTTCATTTTTTTCTTATTTTTTGTCTTTCATTCCTTTCAAAAACAACAGTTTTATCAAAATTTTATTTTTTTTTTATTTAGATGCTCGGACTTGGCACAACGCTTCGACCAGCTTTCGCCTTTGGACGACAAATCGCTCAACTATCAACACATCATGGTGGGGTTATTTTTAAGTGTATACCTAGGCTTTCCTGAATGCATAAGGGTCATAAAATTAGGTTAATGATAATTTTTAGAGAAGATGTTGATCGTTCAGCGAGTCGGTGCCAAGCAAAACGTGGGATTAATCAAACTGAATCGACCGAAAGCGCACAACGCTCTTTGCACGCCACTTATGAAAGAGGTAGAGCTGATCAAAAAATGTTGATTTTATAATATTTCTTTTATTTTGATTTTTAGATGCAAACGGCTGTCAAAGAGTTCGAAGAAGACGACAAAATTGGAGCCATTGTGATCACTGGAAGCGAAAAAATTTTTGCGGCAGGGGCTGATATCAAAGAAATGGTATTTTGAAGATTTCTTTTTACAGTTTTAGCTAAACTTTAGGTAGTAAAAGATTTTGCGACAATTTACACGGGAAAGGATCATTTCCTTGATGAGTGGAAGACAATCGCCGAATGCAAGAAGCCGATCATTGCAGCTGTTAATGGGTTTTTTACTTTAGCCTTCGGAATTAAGTTTTGTGTCTAGGTTTTGTCTTGGTGGTGGCTGTGAATTGGTTATGGCGTGTGACATCATTTACGCAGGTCATCATGCACAATTCGGGCAACCTGAAATCAACATTGGTATATTATAACTTTTTTCTTTTAAATATCTATTTTAGGAACGGTTCCCGGTGCTGGAGGGAGTCAAAGATTAACGCACGCTGTCGGGAAATCTCTTGCGATGGAAATGGTACTCACGGGAAATCGCATTGATGCAGAAACGGCATTGAGAGCTGGTCTTGTTTCAAAGGTATCACATATTGACCGAGCAAAAATCAAACTCATTTAGGTATACCCAGCAAAGGAGGTTCTTGCCAAAGCGATCGAACTTGGCGAAAAGATTGGCGAACAATCACCGTTGATTGTGCAAATGTGCAAAGAAGCTGTGAATAGTGCCTACGAGTTGACGCTGAAAGAAGGACTTCACTTTGAAAGACGTTTATTCCATGCCACTTTTTCTACGGTATAATTTCATGTAATTAAATTTGTTAATGAAAGTTTTAGCATGATCGAAAGGAGGGAATGAGTGCTTTCGTCGAAAAACGAAAACCAAAGTGGACCTCGGCTTAATATGTACATAAAAATATTGCATTTTGTTACGTGTGTTTAAAGTTTCAATAAAATCTTAAAATGAAATTTCACCAGATTTCGGGAATTAAGCAATTTCATTGCTATTGCGAAAAGTGAAAATTGTTGTCAACATGGATTCGTTTAGGTCGATGGCCAATTGAAGAAGGAGCTTGGATTCAAATTTCGATGTAAGTTTTCAATGTTCATATAGTTTGTGTAAAAAGTTAGATCTTAAAACCGTTTCAAGCCATTGTTCAAAGTCATTTTTGAAATGTTTGACAAGTATGTCTCGATTTTGGACGTTTTTGTCCTGTAAAAGTTCGATGTTTACCTTGTTCACTCTAGCGGTTTGATTTTTGGTTTTATTCACGTCTCGGCTAAAACGCGCCCTTTTCACCGCTCACTGCGATGCGTGTGTCGCTGTTATGAAATTGCGGTTTTGGCCGGTCTTGTTTATCAGAAGAATTCGTGGGGAAATCCGTCACATGTTGACACTAAATCCCTAAAACTTTCTAATAACTGTTGTTCCAATCAATCTTAAAGTAATTCATTAATGAATTGTTTAGTCTCTTGATTTCTAGATTTTGTTTAATTGTCTTCATAACCAGCAACTAAATTTAGATGGGCAACAATCAACCCGGAGGCACAACCAAACGAGAGCGAGGCGAGATGGGGCAAAGTCCAGGCGGGAGGACGCGCGCGATGAGCGGAAACCCGCCACCCAACTTAAGCAGTTCGGCCGAAGATGGATGTCCTGTACAGGTACTTGACTTTCTGCTTAATTGGTCAGTAGATTGATAGTTCTTTAGTGTAAAGGAACGTGTATCTGTAAAAGTTTCGATAATTATGAACTCGTTTACTTATCATTATGCAATCCAAAGGCAATTTTAGGTGAAAATTGCGAAAAGCCTTGACGATTCGAATGGCTCCCTTCCGAGTGTGGCCACACTGACTGTGAAAGATAAAAACGAGTATCCAGTGGTTTTTAAGTGGCATGGTGGATCACAATCGGGACCACGGTAATATTGACAAATTTTTTTTTTGCTAATGCAAGATTTAAGACAAGTTTCTATCTGTGGTTCTTGGGACAATTGGAGACGAAAGATCCCGCTAGTGAAATCGCAGAACGACTTCACGACAATCGTCGAGTTACAACCAGGTATTTTGTTTTAGACTTTTAAGCTTTTTTTAAAATTTCGTCCTTTCTTAATTTACAATCTTATTCAGGTGACCACGAGTACAAATTTATGGTTGACGGGAAATGGGTTGTGGATGATAATCAACCAAAAACCGACAACCCAATGGGTTCCGAGAATAACGTAATCCACATTGATGAGGCTGATTTTGAGGTAAATCATAGCTTTTTCATTTAGTAGGTTTGTAAATAGTTTAGAAGTAGTTATTCAAAATCTTTTAGGTTTTTGATGCGCTCGATAAAGATCTTGCCTCGTCGAACGCCGGTGAAGCGATGAGAAACTTGAACAAGGTTAGTTGAAGTTGCACGTTTTTTTTTTACTTCTCTGTTTAGGCTCCTACCAGCCATGATACACCAAATGATCGTGAATTGGAAAAAATGCACGCTTTTTCACAGGTTAAGAAATTTCTTCTTCATTCACATAGTTTTGATTTAGGAAGTCCCGGATCGCAAAGACTTCGACAAAGCAGCAAATCCTCCTGTACTTCCACCTCATCTTCTGCAGGTTGCTTTGGTTATTGTTAACGTTTGTAGTATTATTTCAGGTTATTTTGAACAAAGATGTGCCCGTGCAATGTGATCCTAATGTCCTTCCCGAGCCAAATCATGTAAGGGTCTTTCGATTTTAAAACAAATTTAATCTGAATATTACAACAAGAAATTTTAAAATATTTTTCGTTTCTTTTAGGTCATGCTTAATCACCTTTATGCGCTCTCGATCAAGGACGGTGTGATGGTGCTTTCTGCAACTCATAGGTATGCATTTTGAGTTGAAAAAAAATTATCAAACTGTGTCGTTTTTAGAAACCGTTCTATTGTAGTCACAAGAAATTCAGTACACAATCAGTGAAACTTTTAAAATACCCTATTCAGCCATTCTTTTTCAGGTACCGCAAAAAGTATGTGACCACTCTCCTCTACAAGCCGATCAGTTGATTTATGCGAATTACATTAATTTTCAAATCAAGGACACCTTTTATTTCGTCAAGCTGAAGATTTTTATATTTCCATTGTAATCTCATTGTTTTACAAAAAAGGCTTTGATCGTAAGAAAATCCGAGTGACTCCCAGCGTGTTTTAAAAATAAGTGATAGCTTTTTTAAGTCAACATTTCTTCGTGCAGATTTTTGTTCCTTTATTAGATTGAATCTGTTAGTTAACATGATTTCGAGATCCTTTTTTTGTTGAAGTACAATTTTTCGCACTTTCTCGCTTTATCCCGAAAAGTTGTGGGATATACGAAAAGTGCCATTATTTGTTTGTTTCCAGGTGTTTTCTTGAGCGATTCCACGATTTTGTGGGTAAAAAACATTGATTAGTCGAACGGGGATGAGCTTCTCATGGCTCACCCATGCACATAGATTATTCATTTCGTTTGTAATTTGTAGTTTTGTCCCGGAAGAATAAAGATCCTGAAAAAATGGATGAAAAAACGCCTTGAAGCAGAACAGAATTCAACAATCGAGGAGGAGTACTGTAAATGAATAGAAATTTCATGTAAACGAAGGGCTACTGTAGCTGAATTTGGATTTGTATCTAATAGGGGTTACGGTAGCTGAATTGTTAACGAATTCGACGAAAGCTTTACTGAAAATTTACATTTACAGATTGGATTACTGTATCTGGATCAAAATTTACATTTAGTGAGAGTTACTGTAGCTGGGTACAACTACAGTACTAAGTTTCCCGATTACAATTTAGCTGAATATCTTTAAACTTGACATTTTCTTGGTTACCAGGGTCTCCCCGTTGCTATAAACATCATTTTGGCGATAAGGTCTGACTCTTGAGATAGCCAAAATATGGAAAGAGATCCAGGTAGATTGCGTGTTCAGAATTTTTTAATGTCCAAAGAGAATCTTAAGAAAAGAAAGAATTTCCCTCAAATCCACCATTTCTAGCTTTATTTCTATTGATCTTGGATATTTTAAAGTTTACTTAAAATGGTAAGTATTAGACATTTTTATGAAACTTTATGAATTTTTTCGTCTTTTCTCAGTTTGGCTTCATTCACGAGAGTGTCCGTCAGTTGATGTTACGCAAATATGGAGAAGAGTTTTGGCAGAAAGTCTTGTGAGTTTTCAAAGTTTCGAAGGGAAAGGGAAACGCTTTAGAAAGTGAAGAGAAAGAAATTCTTTCGAAGATTACGGTTATATTATGAATTTTCTAGACAAAGAGCCGGCTTTGAAAGCGGAAAAGAGAACATTGTTAATCATTACTACTCTGATGCGGACACTTATGTACTCATCGATGCGGTTAGTGTCATATCAAGTGAGTCGGCTGAGTCTTTGAAATACACTACTGGACAAATGAAATATCATATTTGAAGAAACGATCGTCACTTTCGCGCGTCTGTAACTCTGTAACTCGTCTGTAACTCGTCTGTAACATCTGTAACGTCTGTAACTCGTCTGTAACTCGTCTGTAACTCGTCTGTAACGTCTGTAACGTCTGTAACTCGTCTGTAACTCGTCTGGAAATCGTCTGTAACTAGTCTGTAACGTCTGTAACTCGTCTGTAACTCTGTAACGTCTGTAACTCGTCTGTAACTCGTCTGGAACTCGTCTGTAACTAGTCTGTAACTCTGTAACGTCTGTAACTCGTCTGTAACTCGTCTGTAACGTCTGTAACGTCTGTAACTCGTCTGCAACTCTGTAACGTCTGTAACGTCTGTAACTCGTCTGTAACTCGTCTGGAAATCGTCTGTAACTAGTCTGTAACGTCTGTAACTCGTCTGTAACTCTGTAACGTCTGTAACTCGTCTGTAACTCTGTAACTCTGTAACGTCTGTAACGTCTGTAACTCGTCTGTAACTCGTCTGGAACTCGTCTGTAACTAGTCTGTAACTCTGTAACGTCTGTAACTCGTCTGTAACTCGTCTGTAACGTCTGTAACGTCTGTAACTCGTCTGCAACTCTGTAACGTCTGTAACGTCTGTAACTCGTCTGTAACTCGTCTGTAACTCTGTAACGTCTGTAACTCGTCTGTAACTCGTTTGTAACTCGTCTGTAACTCGTCTGTAACGTCTGTAACGTCTGTAACTCGTCTGTAACTCGTCTGTAACTCGTCTGGAACTCGTCTGTAACTAGTCTGTAACGTCTGTAACTCTGTAACGTCTGTAACTCGTCTGTAACTCGTCTGTAACGTCTGTAACGTCTGTAACTCGTCTGCAACTCTGTAACGTCTGTAACGTCTGTAACTCGTCTGCGTCTGTAACTCCGTAACGTCTGTAACTCGTCTGTAACGTCTGTAACGTCTGTAACGTCTGTAACTTTGTAACGTCTGTAACGTCTGTAACTCACAATTTTTCATGGCATAGAGAAAGAGGTCACTCAGCACCGTTTCCTTTCTTTTGACACTTTTTGCATGAATCATTACCGTATTCGAAGCGAACGGAGAGTTTTGGTTGAGAAAAACTTTCACAAAGACCTTTCCGATGCAATTCAAATGATTGTTGGTATAATAGTACGAACTAGACATGGGAAAATTCAAAGCTCAACTTAATTCCTTTGCTTTTTCAGCCGTTTCTTAATCGATTCCTTTGAAATTATGGCTATAAGCTGATTTAAGCTATAAGCTATAGGCTATAGGATGATTTAAGCTACAAGCTATAAGCTAAAAGCTGTTTTAAGCTATAAGCTATAAGCAGGGAACCTTCCCAAGTTACCCGCGAGTTACAATATGAGGTACAGTACTGGACAATGAAATATCATATTTGAAGAAACGATCGTCACTTCGTCACTTTCGCGTCACTTTCGCGCGTCTGTAACTCCGTTTTCTTTGAGTTTAAACTATTAGTGTTATACATTTTTTGCTCTGCATCAGGAGCCAAAGGTTTATCGATTCTGGGGTAAAAATCAATAAGGATGTGTACCAAAAAAAGATTCTTGAGGATGTTTTGCTCTCATGCGCTCAACAGCCTTTCGGTAACGGATTTTGGACCTTCCAACAAGACTCCGCTCTTTCTCATCGAGCCAAATCCACACAGGACTGGTGTAGGACAAACTTCCCAGATTTCATCTCGGCCCAGGAATGACCTCCGTATTCGTGCGATCTCAATTCGTTGAACTACAGTGTTTGGTCAATTTTGGAGGCAAGGGCTTGTGCAAAACCCCACAAAAGTTTGGAGGCTCTTAAGCGAACGTTGAATGGGATCGAATCACTCCGGCCGAGCTGCGGCCCATCGCCGAAAATTTCATCAAGCATTTGAGGCTCTGAATCAGGAGCCAAAGGTGGCCACTTTGAAGAAAAGTAGATTTTATGCTCTCTTTATATCATGTTGTTAATCAAAAAAATTCTTTCTGCTACAAAATCTTTTTGGATTTTTAAAAAAATAGACTAAATTAGGCCGCAACGTTATTTCTGATCACCCTGTATTCCAGCTTAAGTACAAGAGATCTGTTATATTGTTGTTTCTATTTTATTTTCCATTTCTATTAGGGTGGTGCAAAAGAAACTGCCGATGGGTATCAGCTCTCATTTATCAAAAACGAGTGATGCTAACGGCATTAGTTTTTTCTATTTTTTGTTTGCTATTTATTTCGATATTTGAATTGAAAGCTCTTTTCAATGGCTACACAATGGTAATATTAATATTTAGAAATACGGTAAAGAGAAGGGAGTTACAGATGGGCAAAAGTGATGATCTGCTTTTCAAATCTAATATTTCATTGTTCTTTAGTTTATATTCATTCTATCAAGTGAGTCTTTGAAAGATATCGATTCTAGAAATGTCTCGTGAACAAGTTTGGGAGCTTTACGGTGCTTTCCTCATCGAGTACACTATGGAGATTGGCTGGGACGAGTTGATGAGAGCGATGAGTCCGAATTTAAAGGTGTGATCGGAGCGGGAGGATTTGAGAAGTTGAAATCGAATCTCTATTTAGGGTTTCCTTGACAATCTTGACTCATTGCACTACTTTATCGATCATGTTGTCTACAAGGCGAATCTCCGCGGACCATCTTTTCGGTAAGCGTTAACGATCAACTATTTAAAGAAAAGTATTTCGTCTGTTCGTCTGTATGCTTCTCGTCTTTATGCTAGTTCTCGACTTCTCGTTGGCTAATTTACATAGTACAGGGTGCGTCATAATTATTGCAACAAGAGTTCAAAGACCGTTTGTGATGTCAAGAATGTGATGTCATGGGCGTGTAAAGCCAATAACAATCAAAATTGGACCTTCATGCAAGATGGAGCTCCCGCTCAAACGAAGAAGACGGTTCAGAACTGGTGTGTGGCCAACTTTCCCTCAGTGATCACCAAGGATGAATGGCCTCCAAACTCACCGGATCTCAATTTGATGGACTTTTCCATCTGGGCAATCTTAGAGGCTAATGTCTGCTCTTTGACCTTGAAGAAGTCAAAACCAAAGTCAAAACCTTGATCAAAACCAAAGGATGGAAGGCGTCTCCTCAAGATGACATTCGGGCCGCAGTGGAGACATATCCGAACCGATTAAGGGCTGTTATCAAGGCAAAAGGCGATCATATCGAATGATCTCTTGTTTCCTTACTTGCTACTGTTAAATAAAGCCTATTTCTGTTTAAAAATCTTCTTCCAGTGAAACTTCTTGGTGTGCAATGCCTTGAGTATCTTGTTGCAATAATTATGACGCACCCTGTAGATCAAAGTATTCGTAAATGTATTTGAAATAAACCATTGTCAACAGTTGACTCCCGGCGGAATGAATAAGTCGCTTGGCGGCATCAAAACGACCGGCATAACAAGCCAAGTGAAGACACGTATCTCCATACATATTTTGACATCTAATCATCTGAAAGAACAAGGCTTTGACTTAGTTTTTAAAAACATAGCTTTTAATTTGTTAGGGCTTAGAATTTTATCTAGTTTTCCATCTCATATTTCGTTTTTTTAAAAAGCAAAAGTCAAGACACGGCGGGGAGTCGAACCCGGACCTCGTGGGCTCTAGAAAAGCACCCTCCTGACTGCGCCATGGCGAGGGAAACACCCTGCTAGAAAAACCAGCTGTTAGGCGGGGTTTTCGGTCTTCAATAAAGGTTTCTTTCTAGGTGTGAAGAGAACACGGATGGGAGTATCACATTGCATTATTACACTGGTCGACCGGGTCTCTACCCGATTGTGAAAGGTACTTAACTCTTTTTTGGGTTCCTTTTTGCTTAAAAAGATTATATCTATGATATTTGAGCTTTTGGTAAAAAAGTGAGATGTCTGGCCGGTGGCGGAGTCGAACCCTTGAGCTATGGGACTCGATGCAAGAGCGCTAACCACTTGGCCATTCGGCGTCAGGACCCACCCCGGTCATTACCGGCTTAATTCAGCCGTTTCCCGAAAAACATACCCGCGGCAAACTGGCATTTCGAATTATAAATGGAGTTAAGTCCCTTTGGAGTATGGGACATCAGGTGCCTTGTGGTGTAGCGGTTAGCACAGTTACCCAGCAAGCGAAAGGTCGCGGGTTCGAGTCCCGGCGGCGGAAAAGTTTTTGATCTGCTGTTTTTTGAACTGAAAACATAGCCGCGACAGACTGCTCTTTCGAATTATTGGACTTAAGTCCCTCTGGAGCAAGCGAATTCAAGTGCCTTGTGGTGTAATGGTTGACTGGTAGGCGAAAGATCCCAGGTTCGAGTCCTGGTGGCGCATAAGTTTTGATCTGCTCTAGTTTCAACTAGGTGCCGATGATATGCTCTCATTGAAATGGTAAACCGATTATGTTTGAATTTGAAAGCCCACTGGTTCACAGAGAAAAGATTTCAAGAACAAAAAGCCAGAGAACCAGAGTAAGTGGGCTGGAAAATTTGAGTTTTAAAGTATCATTTGGAACTCTGGAGTCAGAATTGTTGAAATCTATGAATCCAGGTGTGCTTCGTGAGGCGGCGAAACGTGTTTTCAACATTGACATCTCGTTGTCGATTACGGGAAGAACCCAACGATCTGTTCATATGTCAACTGGAGAGAAAATCGAGGAACACGTCATTTTTTTGATTAAGGTATGAAAATGTTGAGAGATTTGGTGGAGAAGGACTAGCAAGGTTCGAGTCAAAGTTGTAAGTTGTTAAGTCGTAAAGGAATCGGAATCATTGAAGGTATTGTCGCAAATACTGTAATAGTACCCTATCTCGATAACGGAGTGTTGCGTAGTCTAGTTTGGAAGTCTAGCTGCGTAGTCTAGCTTTGAACGTAGTCTAGCTGAGTAGTCTGGCTTTGAACGTAGTCTAGCTGTGTAGTCTAGCTGCGTAGTCTGGCTTTGACCGTAGTCTAGCTGCGTAGTCTAGCTGCGTAGTCTAGCTGCGTAGTCTAGCTGCGTAGTCTAGCTGCATAGTCTAGCTGCGTAGTCTAGCTGTGTAGTCTAGCTGCGTAGTCTGGCTTTGACCGTAGTCTAGCTGCGTAGTCTAGCTGCGTAGTCTAGCTGCGTAGTCTAGCTGCATAGTCTAGCTGCATAGTCTAGCTTTGAACGTAGTCTAGCTTTTTCTTGGCATTGGTTTATGCTAAAATGCGCGCTTGGGTATCAAAAAAAGCTGAAATTCAGCGATTTTTATCTGTGATATCACAGACACTTTTTTTTGCAATGAAGGGCGCTTTGAATAGAATGAAATACGCAAAACTTTGTGACTACACGACTGTACGATAGTCTAGAGAAAGTCTTAGAGAATTTACGGTAGATATATTGAAAAAGATCTTAAATTTAGTAACAAGTATTGTAGGTTGTTTTTTAAATCTTTAGACAATTGAAATCTTTAGACAATTGACAATTGACAATTGACAATTGACAATTGACAATTGAAATCTTTAGACAATTGAAAAAGAGGGTTCTCCAACGACGGATCTCATCGGAACCACCGGTCGAATGTCCCCGATTGGACGCGATTTTAAACTGCGATTGAGTCAAAGGGATTTTATAAACGCTTTCCCGTATCATGTCGTCGTCGATCAAGATTGCAAAGTGATGCAAGTGGGGAGAGAGTTGTAGTAAGTTTGTTTAGAAAGCTAAAAACTCAATCTTTTTTCTATTAGATGTGTGAAAAAGTAATCCACGTTTTTAACGTTTATGCGGTATCCATTTGTCCAACTTTTTGATAAAATTCATGACATTCAAGCGTTTCCTTACAGTTGACCCATCACAATTTAATGTAAGGCCTATTTCTGAAGAGGTTGAACGAGGGTTTTCGAGAAGACAGCGTCTTATTTGGTCATCAGAACAGGGCTAACGAACGAACAGATCATCTCAGGGCGACCGCCACCTGGTTCATCTTCTAGGCTTTCATTACCACCTTTGAATCGTCGGAACCAAAACCTAGCGGTATCATCAATAACGGCGTCTTCGCCAAACGCATTCCGAATTCGACGTGCAGCCTCCGCAGCTTTCAACCCATTTTTGAACTCATAAAGCAAATTTGACCGAATAGCGATACTTGTGTATACCATTTTCAAACTAAAATGAAAGTAGTTTATTGTCGTCCTTTTAACAAAATAAATATATCATTCGAAAGAGGAAAAAATAAGCTTTTAAACGATATATATGTCGTAGCCGATTATGAATGAAATTTCTTGGCAAATCTTTCTAGTAGAGCAGCAAGTAGAGGACAATATTATATGATCTTGTAGCGAATTGAATTCCGCGTCGATTGGTACCAGATTTGTGAGTTTAGGTTAAAAATTGCCGGCGCTACAACGTTTCATTCAAAATCGGCGGGACCCCCGTAGCCGATTATGAATGAGTGGGTCTAGGAGCGTCCAATCATCAAGTATTTGGGTCTAGGAGCGTCTAGGAGCGTCCAATCATCAAGTATTTGGGTCTAGGAGCGTCTAGGAGCGTCCAATCATCAAGTATTTGGGTCTAGGAGCGTCCAATCATCAAGTATTTGGGTCTAGGAGCGTCTAGGAGCGTCCAATCATCAAGTATTTGGGTCTAGGAGCGTCTAGGAGCGTCCAATCATCAAGTATTTGGGTCTAGGAGCGTCTAGGAGCGTCCAATCATCAAGTATTTGGTATCATTCAACGCAGAATCATTAATAATTATGTTAAATTTTTAAAATTAGAAAGATTGGATAAAAAGAAAAAAAATTATGGGGCCTCAAAGTTTCCTCTTGAACAAGCAGTTTTTTTGCTCTAATTTTTTTTCTTTTTATCAAATCTTTCTAATTTTAAAAATTTAACATAATTATTAATGATTCTGCGTTGAATGATACCAAATACTTGATGATTGGACGCTCCTAGACCCACGCATTCATAATCAGCTACGACAGATATTCAGCTAAATATCTTTCAAAAGATATCCAGCTTGCTTCCAAAAGAGATTCAGCTTCCAAAGGATCTTCCACTCATTGATAATCGGCTACGGGGGTCCCGCCGATTTTGAATATTAGACTATTTGTTCACTATACAGACTGAAGGGTTTTAGGAGTACTGTAACTGTAAAGATCTGGCTTCTCGATGACTTTTCAACGTAGAATTTCGCGCTGATTCCGAATCTGATTTCCGTTTTTGCCAAATCACCAAGAGGCTTGCGTACAAAACGAGCGTTGCTTATTCCGTTTTGAATGAAACGTTGTAGCGCCGGCAATTTTTAACCTAAACTCACAAATTTGGTGCCAATCGAGGCAGAATTCAATTCGCTATGATATAATATTGTCCTCATACATTAAAGGGTTACTCTACTAGAAAGATTTACCAAAAAATTTCATTCATAATCGGCTACGACAGATATATCGTTCACAAAAAATTAAACAAAACAAAATAAAAAAACGTGGATTACTTTTTCACACACCTAATAGTTAGACTAGACTAGACTTTAAAAAGCTCTCATTTACTTTTCTAGTTAGACTTTAAAGGGGGTATTAATCGCGGCCGGGTGACGATAAAAATTTTTTTACGGCAACCACCTGTTTTTTTATTTTAATATCGCTGATTTTATTATAAAAAGAATAAAAATCACCCGGCTAGAGTGATTTGATGGGTGATGGGACAAATTTGATTTGATTTGATGGTTGAAGACGCTGCAAGGCTCGCATAGTTCATCTACAAGGTAAGTGCGAAAGTAGATTGAACAGATTTGATGGTTGAAGACGCTGCAAGGCTCGCTTGGCTCATCTACAAGGCTCATCTACAAGGCTCATCTACAAGGCTCATCTACAAGGCTCATCTACAAGGCTCATCTACAAGGTAAGTGCGAAAGTAGAGCAAAAGTCAGGCATTATCTTTTCGTTTTGTTTTCTTTAGACTTTCGCACTTAGACACTTTTGGTTTTTGATGGGTTTACAAATTTTTGGAGATGCTGCAAGGCTTGGAGGAAAACAAGATCGCCACTCATCAGACACCTCAGCACAGTCTAGATCGATTGAGTTTTAGTTGCAGATAAATTTAAAAACAAAATAAAAAGCACAAAAAGTAATAAAAATAAATTGTTAATCTATAATTCTTCCTCTTGCTCACTTTCATCTTCGCTCAAGTACAGCAGTTCGGCTCAAGTACAGCAGTACAAATCGGCTTCCTATCTTATCAATTTCCAGCGCATCTTCACCAAAAGTGACTGGATCTCCTCCATCGTAGGACGTCTTCAGCGCTTTGATTGACACAATTAGATCTTTTTTCATTTGTGGTCGCTTATGGTTTTAGTTTTCTCAAATAGGTGCCTTTTAGCTGAGGTGTCTGATGAGTGACGATCTTGTTTTTCTCCAAGCCTTGCAGTGTCTCCAAAGATTTGTAAACCCATCAAATCACTCTAGCCGGGTGATTTTTATTCTTTTTATAATAAAATCAGCGATATTAAAATAAAAAAACAGGTGGTTGCCGTAAAAAACATTTTATCGTCACCCGGCCGCGATTAATACCCTTTTTAATTCATTTTAAAGGGGGGGGGGGCCTTTAAAATGAATTAAAAGACGAATAGCTAGAGTTTTCTATTTCTGAATTTCTGAAGCAATTTATTTCGCAACTTATTTAGCAACTTTGTGCCTAAAGAAATGCTCGAACCGGGCACTCCATTGATGAGAATTTTCGAGATTTCTCGGCCACAAATCCCGCTCGAATTCGACTCGATTTGCAATTTTATCAATGCCGTTTTTGTGCTTCAGGTTTGGAATTAGATTTATAGAGTTATTCGGTGAATAAAAAGACGGGAAATTCTAAATGTAAACGTCAATAGGAGTGCAAAGAAATTGCCCTATTTCCCCACTCTAAACTTTTTGATTTTTAGATAAATTAATGGGAATTTCATTTTTCTATCAATTGAAATGAAAGACGAAAAGAAAAGACGAATTCAAGTGAAATTCGAAAAGATATAGCACCTTTTTCGTTGAACACCTATTGACATTGACACCGAAAATTCTCGCGTCTATTGGGAAATGTCATTAGGATTTCTAATAACTAAAGTATATCAAAAATTGTAGGAAAATTTGTACAGGGTGACCCACAATTATTCAGCGAAATTCAGAGCGTCTAGATTAGCCAGAATTCAGTCAATCATTCTGCTTTTTATGCAAATAAATCTTAAGTATATCTCCTAAAACGTTGTCAATTATCTAATCAATTTAATCGGTACTTGTTGGTTAGCTAGCTTTCGATCAGCCTTTGATCAGCTAGCTTTCAATCAGCCTTTGATCAGCTAGCTTTCGATCAGCTAGCTTTCAATCAGCTAGCTTTCGATCAGCCTTTGATCAGCTAGCTTTCGATCAGCCTTTGATCAGCTAGCTTTCGATCAGCTAGCTTTCGATCAGCTAGCTTTCGATCAGCTAGCTTTCGATCAGCTAGCTTTCGATCAGCTAGCTTTCGATCAGCCTTTGATCAGCTAGCTTTCGATCAGCTAGCTTTCGATCAGCTAGCTTTCGATCAGCCTTTGATCAGCTAGCTTTCGATCAGCTAGCTTTCAATCAGCTTTCGATCAGCTAGCTTTCGATCAGCTAGCACTCTACTTCACTCTACATCATCACCCCGCACAAGTTGTCTGCTTCCTTCTTGACCCAGATGAGTCTTTGTGGATGTATAACCGACAAGTACCAATCTAAGCTGACAATTTGTGAGGGATGACTATGTTCAGTGAAGTAGTGCTCGTTTAAAATGATCGTGATCAGTGATCAGTCGATCAGTCGAACGAAAATCGATAACAGAGAAGACTCGGATGGGGATGCTTAACAAAGATGAATCTTTGTGGATTTTTAACCCACAAATACCGGAAGTTCTACTCAGCCAAAAAACTTGCCTAATAGCTCATTTTGTAGCCAATTTGATGTAGTTTCTTAAAGTAAAGCCATCTAAAACAATTTTTCGTTAAAAGTAGGAGAAAGAGGGCGAGGAACAAATTCAGGGGAACTCTCAAATGTGAAAACAGCGACCGAGTTCAACTGAAGTCGTTCCTCGCCCTCTTTCTCCTAGCTTTGAAAAACAAATGTTCAATATAGCTTTACTTTAAGAAACTACATCAAATTGGCTACAAAATGAGCTATTAGGCAAGTTTTTTGGCTGAGTAGAAAATTTTTTATAGCCACCCAAAGTTTAGGTTCAAAAACCTAAACTTTGGGGGCTCAAAAAAAATTTTCTACTGAACCAAATGAGCTAATTTCAAAAATTTATTATAAAATATATGTATTATGAACATTTTTTGTGTGGGTGACTTTTTGATTGGATGCCCGGAAATACCCTCATTCGTTAGCGGCTGAATTTAAGCTATGACATATAGATAAATAAATTGTGGGTCACTTGTAGATCGGAATATTAGTTTCAATCATCAAAGCATGCTTAAAATGAAGTTTTAAAAGCTATTCAGCTGAATGCTAAAGCTATTCAGCTGTTTAGCATACAATAATAAGCAAATCTTTTAGGTTAAAACAACTCCACTTGAGCTGCGCCGAACGCTGGGTGGAGGAGATCAAAAAAGAGATAGCGTGGCAACGGCAATCAGTGCCACGAGTGGGATGAGTGATAGGTGGAGTGATAAATTGATTAAATCCAATATCCAATTCATCGAATTTC